TTACCACCCTAATTTTTTACAAATTGTACAAGTAAATTTACAGAGAATTTATAAACCCTTGATCACACAACGTGGCTTCACCCTGTCAACTAGTTATATTTTTCCTTTATTTGACTAAACTTATAATTTTCAATTACAAGCTAGCTAGCTGGCTGTTGATTATATGCCCACCGGAATTCCAGCAGTTGAATTGAAATGCATGGGTGGTGGTCTTTGACTCTTTGAACAACAGTAATCTTTCACGTTTAACCAGAGAATAATATTAGGGTTTGCTGGACCATGGAATTTGGAATTCGGGTCGGGCCGTCCAACAAAGAATCCCGTGTCCGCCAAAATTACCCATATTACTTTAGACAGAAACCATAATTAATAATAATAATACAGTAATTAATTAAGTACAATCTTGGAGTGGTAATATGGACTGTAAGTATGAAGAGAATTCTTTTTATTTTTATTGCACTCATACATGCATACTTTTCTTCGGTTTTGAATATTTGCTTACCGGAAATCACTTTTCTAGTGGTGATAATTCGCCTAATTATTTTTTGTTTCATTCACAATTTTGGTCATACTATAGTACTATAATCTGCCTAATTCTGATGGCTGCCTATTAGCTATAAGTCGATTAGCCCAATGCTCAACCTAATTTTCATACTCCATTAGTCCAATGGTGCTTATCCTATAACACATATATAGAAGGCCATGCATAACACGATTGATTATATTACTCATTGATGATCAAGTGTTATACCTACAAGAGTGCATAACATATATAATTATTTTCGAATATGTTATAGTGGTGAAGGGGCCAAAAATACGAGTAAGATGGGGCAAAAGAATAAGGGTCGCGGGGGCAACGTCTCCCAAGTTAAATTATTTTTCAAATTTGTTACAAATCTTATGTGTATTTTTTGACGCGTTAATATGAAAATTTAGGGGAAGTTGCCACAATAACAAAGCTCCAACAATGTCTATTAAGATTATATGTTACGAATCTCCATAATCAAGTTCATGGGATTTCAATACACATATATTACATATTACAGCTGCATGGCAAGCTACCCATTTGGGGGCACATTTGCCGGTTCTTAAAATAATGTAAATTAGAAGTGTTTTTTTTTTACCTTACTCTTTTAAATTTTCTTCAATCGATTGCGGTATAGCCAAATGTTCTTCGACATAAATATCATCTTCGTTGTCTCTTAAATGATGATATAATTAGAACGATGATTGCATTGCGAACTACATGTCAATACCTGCCAATTCATTGTTCTTTAACACAAGGTAAAGTCAAAATTACTTGTGCTGGTAAAATTCTTAATTTAGGTGAAAATTCACGATTGCACATCTTATCACAATTAGTGGTTCTATTATGCCCACGCAATTAGGTTAGGTGAAGTCAAATGAAAGTGGAGGAATTTGTTGAAGTAAAGTAAAAAAAAAAAAAAGATTCTACCATACCTATAGGGAACTCTTCTTTTGGTTATTTCCAAGCAAGAAATTTGTGGACGAACCTAATTCATTTCTAAAACCATTCCACAGAAAGAAAGAAAGAAAAAAAGGACCTTTGCTTGCAAAAATGTAAATTCTGTATATACATATTTTGCTTCTTTTTCCCCAATAGTAATTACGTTACCATCAGCTAGTTGGCCCTCCAATTTTCCACTATTGGCATTTACGTCCCTATCCTTGTTGGGACAGGATTAAGTGGGGAGAGACACGGACAGTGGAACAATCCCAAAGCTACTCAATTATTTCTTTTTTTTTTTGGGGCAAAATAAATCTCATGTTAAAACTGTTTTCCTCGTTGCCTGATTAATTATAGAAGTAATTGTTAGATAGTGCAATGTGATGAACTTTTTGATGAATGGAAGCGCGGTGAACCAAATTGATCATCACTTTTATCTTGGCCTCTAAAGGTAAAAGATAATTCTTAAAAAGTGTTCTAGGCGCTGAAGTCAGTAAAGACGTTTCGGTTAAACAAATCAATTGTACAAATTTTTAAAAAATGATAGTGGAAGTGTGATGAACAGTAAGCTTTGGACACGGATAAATCTGGGGTTTTAATCCTTGCTCTTGATTCATGTAGCAGTTGTTGAAACTCATGCTACAATTTTTGGATGAGACTTCCACCGTGAATTGTTCAAAATCCTTGCTACACGTAGTAGGGGTAGCATTGGCGAGAGTTCATGCAATGGGTTGGTAAAACCCTTGTTATAATTTGTAGTAGAGGTTAAAATCTTTGCTACAGGTTGAAAAAACTCTTGCCATAGACTTTTTTTTTGTAATGTTTTATGTGGGGAGATATAGAGATATTTATAAGAAATGTAGGTGATGGAAGAGAAGCTGAAAAATACTGATAAACTAATCTCAAGCCTTGTTATATACGTAGTCAATTAATTAATGGAGTTTGAAGTCGTATACATTCTCGCAAATCATACAATTCGCTATCCGACAATACAATTCGTGATCCTACAAATTCTTCGGGAATGAATATATTTAGAAAAATTTGTATTTAATTTATAAAAAACATTAGAAAACTAGGCCAAGATATAAATCCAAACATATTCATTAGTACTACTAGATTTTTCCATTTCAAGTACTGTAACTATACCTCAAATAGTTCTCATTGAGTCACATATAAAAGTCAACTTGAGTAGATGCCCCAACAATAATTTATAAGTGGTCGATTTTAAGTAATGAGGCATAATAATATGATAATATCCATGATGTGAGATGTTATTACAACTAATACGATTTATTTATTTAAGGTAAATTTGTTAAAGAACATCACGTTGGATCAATGTTGATCACAAGAGTTAAACTATGGCATGGCTCATTTAATGAGTGGATTATGATGAGTTATTTGAGTTCAATAAAGAAAGACTGATATGTGATATTTTTGTTAGAATGTTTTCAATGGTCTCTCTTTTGAGTTACTTGAAATACCTTGGAGGTAGTTATTTGAAATTATTCCTAGAAGTATCACATTCTCTAATAACACATTATTTTGCTTCAAATTACCACATAGGTAAAATAATTCACCCAAACAATCCAACAAATGATTTCAGATCGATAAAAAAATGTTAAATTATTCAACTCGATCTCTTTGCTTTGAATTTCAATACTATCATGAGAAAATTTCACTCACCAGAGCTACTAATTAAACAAACCATTTGATACATACAAATTCGTCATAAAATAAGAGTAAATATAATTTATTAGCAAAACTTTTCAACCTTTTCAAAATATTAGCGAAATCTTTTAAAAATATAAAATATTAGTCAAACATTTATTAACATTACAAAGTTTTAGCCACATTTTATTATCGTAAACAATATTATTAATGGAGCTCCACGTGAACCTCCATTTTGGTCTCCATGTCAAATATTATTAAAAATATATCTTAATTATTTATTATATTATTAAAAATAAAAGATAGAAACCCAAACTTCAATACTTCGATCTCCATATCTACAAACCAGAGATCATACCCTCTGACCTCTGTTCCTGTTTCATTCATCTCATCCTTCTTCTCGCAACCTCTTCTTCTCCTTCATCTTCCACAATGATTGCATATCTAATTTTAACGCTGAGAGAATAATTTGTGACTTTTCAAACTGATCTGTACAGTATGACTCTCGTCCATAATAACTTCACTAAAGCATCAGTCACAAAATATGTTATTCTCTTGGTGATATCTGACGTGGAAACCAATGCGGAGTCCAGCGGCGGATCAGAAGATAGTAGAGCACTAGGCTGCATTTTCATTAGAAAATTAGATATCGTGAAAAAAATTCATATTTTTTTACAGTATCAATTGTATACATCGATCTTTTAATATAGAGAATCATTAATAATGGAGTATATATCCATAGTTATCAATAACATATTATTCTCTTTCAAATAAAATAGTTAACCAATCTGTGAGAAATTCATCGCTCATTTTGTTGCGCAAATCATTTTTCACCAATGGTTCTCTCATAGTAGCTGTTGAAATGGCCAATGTCAACATTAGACAAATCAATCGGCCAATCAATTTGTATCGTGTGTCCATCCCTATTTAAGTTTCATTGTTTGTATTTTCTTTAGACGAGAATCATTGGAGCTAGAATTTCTAGGCTAAATTTAGAGTTGTGATTTGAATATGTATTTTCTTTAAACTCATAAGGACTGGGCCGTACAATCTTATTATAAAATAACATTGGGCCGAATGGCTAAAATCGATAAACTCATAAGGACTATACTAGCTCCGGATCCAGAGGAAGACTGGCCCGGGATGGCCACCCCTGGATCCGCTACTGGTGGAGGCTGATGTAGAGCTCCGTTAATAATATCAAAATATAGCTAAAACTAACGTTATTAAATATTTGATTAATATTTTGTATTTTAAAAATTCAACAAAGAAAATTGAAGGATATACTTTTACTCATAAAATAAAATAAAATTCTCTCAGCAATTTAAGTTACTGGCCTCGTACCAATTTCTGATGGAGAACTTAAAACTCCATAGTCCATAATCCATATCATATAATAATATTGAGGGAAAGAAAGAAATGACCAAAGAAAAATGACTGAAAAAGGCGGCTCTTAAGACTAAAGGACTAACCAGCACTTTCTATCAACCTTCCTTCACTTCCCTCTCCCGCGTCTGTTTGTTTACCGGGAAAATCAAAATTTCCCACAAGAAAACTCGGCTTTGACTCTGCAGACGGAGGCTTTTCTTTTCATTTTTTTTTTCTTCCAATGTCCACTCCCTCCATCACCACTCGACATCAAACCCCTTGCTCCCCAAATCGGCAAATCCTACTTCCCATCATCCTTTATATAAACACTCCCACCATCAAAGTTACCAAACCAAAAACCCAGTCCCATATTTCCACTTCCCCATTTCACTTTAAATCCCTCTTTACTTTCAAAGACCCAAACTCTTAAAGCCAAACCCAGCTCTCTCTGATCTTTCTCTAATCAAAAGGAGCGAGCTTGAATCAGATTTCGGAGATGGGTTTGGCAAAAGAAATCATGGGTAGCTCATTAATTGACCGTTCGTCGTCGTCGTTGTCGCCATTTGCTCTGACGAGTTCGAAGTTGTCTTTGGTTAGGAGACCGGTTATGGTTCCTCTGCAGCAGAAGAATAGGGGTTTGAGAGTGGGTCCAGTTGTGGCGGCAATCAGCGAGGATTTGGTGAAGAAGAGCAGAAGCAGCAGCAGCAGCAGCAACAGCAGTTTTGCGGCGGATAAGGACGAGAAGCGGGCGGCGAAATTTACGGTGACAGCTAGGGTGACGGTGAGGAACAAGCATAAGGAAGATTTGAAGGAGACTTTCGTCAAACAGTTGGACGCCATTACCGACAGGATTGGCAGGAACATTGTATTGGAGCTTATTAGCACTCAACTCGATCCCAGTAAGTCAATTTCTCATCTGGGTATATCCATTTCCTTCTTCTGGGTGCTCTGGATTTTGTCTTATTTTTGTTGTTCTTAAATCTTACTTGATTATGTTCTGATTCCAGAAACAAAGGCGTTAAGGCGAAGCAAGACAGCTGTGTTGAAGGACTGGTCCAAGAAGTCAAATATTAAAGCTGAAAAAGTTCAATACTCGGCTGATTTCACTCTGGACTCAGATTTTGGATTGCCTGGAGCAATCACAGTGAGCAATAAACATCAGAGGGAGTTCTTCTTGGAGAGTATTACCCTTGAAGGATTTGCTTCTGGCCCAGTTCATTTCCCTTGCAATTCATGGGTTCAATCCACCAAACACCACCCTGCCAAGAGGATCTTCTTCTCTAATGAGGTAGCCTTGACTATTATTGTCGAGCTCTATTGGAAGCTACTGTTCTTTGTTCGGTCAATTTTTGCTTTAATGGCCTAAGTGGAAGCTGAACAATTCAAAGGGTTGCCCATGTCTTAGCTTGGAATATCAGAGGTGGTAAGCAATGAAATGTCCATATCAAAACAAAAGGGGGAAAACAAAGCAATTCAGAAGGGGCCAACTTCTAATCAAATAGAATAACTTTGTCTTTATTTCTGTTGATAATGGTTTCAACTTTTTCTTGTTCCTTGGTCAAGTTTCCATTTTGGTGGTTGATTTTGATTTTTGACTTTGATTACAGCCATACCTACCAAGTGAAACACCACCTGGGCTTAGAGCTTTGAGGGAAAGAGAGCTGAAAGATCTGAGAGGAGATGGCAAAGGAGTCAGGAAGTTATCTGATAGGATCTACGACTATGACATCTACAATGATCTGGGGAATCCAGACAAGGGCATTGACTATGCTAGGCCAGTTCTTGGTGGGGAGAAGATCCCATACCCAAGACGGTGTCGTACTGGCCGTGAACCAACTTATACTGGTAAAAGTTAAAATCTTTTCGGTTGATGTTATCTTGTTTAATACTAGTTTTGGTCCCCCAAACTTCAATGTTTTTTCTCTCAAACAAACCTCCGTACTTTTCCTTTCCCAAAGGAAGAGCCCTTAATGGATGGAATTCTATGTTTGTTTATGCTTTGGCAGATTCTAATGCTGAGAGCCGTGTGGAGAAGCCATCCCCAATGTATGTGCCCAGAGATGAACAATTCGAGGAGTCAAAGAAGAAAACTTTCTCATATGGGAGGCTTAAAGCCGTTCTCCACACTCTGGTCCCATCTCTCAAGGCCAGCATTTCTGCTGAGAATCGTGGTTTCAATGCCTTTGCTGACATTGACATCCTCTACAAAGAAGGTATCCTTCTCAAAGTTGGGATTCAGGACGAAATCTGGAGGCTGCTGCCTTTGCCTAAGGTGGTGACCAAGATCCAAGAGACTAGTGAAGGACTTCTGAGATATGACACTCCCAAGATTCTTTCCAGTAAGTGATTGATTGAAGATTTTGTCTACTTTCCTTCCGGACATTCATTTCCAGCACAGCACTGCTGACATTATGTTTTAAGTATTAGGGGTCTGTTTTGGCAGGAGGGTTTTTCCTGGGGGAAAGGGCAAGGCCACTGGCCATTTCCAACAACCTAGAATCATTTTCATTACCAGACAACCCCTTGACTGTTCTGGTCACCCATTTCCTGCCAGCATGGCATTACATTCCATAATATTTAGTAACTAAACTCTGAAGAAAGACAGCCAGCTGTTAGAAAGAACAAAGGAAAAGGGTCTTGGTCCTTGAATCCAGGCTTGAACTTAAGAAAAATGTGCTCATCCAAATTTATTGAAGTGCATGATAATGTAATAGCAGATTTTCACGTGGGAGAGTCGCGTGCAATCTTGGCAATTTGATTGTTTTTAATTGATAAGTGCCAATTTGATAGTTTTTACTTTTTAAGTCATAAAACCCCTTTGTATTCTCTGTGCTAATTTGTCATGTGATTTCTCACTCTGGCAGAGGACAAGTTTGCCTGGCTGCGAGATGACGAATTTGCCCGCCAAGCCATTGCTGGTGTTAATCCAGTGAACATTGAACTTCTCAAGGAATTCCCACCTAAGAGTAACCTGGATCCTCAAATATATGGTCCATTGGAATCTGCTCTTAAGGAAGAACACATCTTGGGGCAACTCCATGGCATGTCTGTTCAACAGGTAATATTCAGAGAACCTTCTGCACTAATGTGAAATTGATGTTAATTTACATAGAAGGGGTCACTAAACTTGGGACATAAAAAATTTAGTTACTGAACTTTGATATTAGCGAACTGTTCAATAAACTTTACAGTAATTAACATAACAGAACATCATCAATGTCTGACATGATTCAGAAACCTTCTGCAATAATGTTAGAGTAGTGGATATGGGTAAATTATTCGTAAACAGTCATTAAGATGCCTTTGTTTGTTCGGTGCAGGCTTTGGAGGAGAAGAAGCTATTCATAGTAGACTACCATGATGCCTATCTTCCATTTTTGAACCGGATTAATGCACTCGATGGAAGGAACTCATATGCAACTCGTACGATATTCTTCTTGACCTCTCAGGGCACACTCAAACCCATTGCAATAGAGCTCAGTCTTCCACCATCAGGGCCACCTTCGAGGTCAAAGCGGGTGGTCACGCCTCCAGTTGATGCGACCAGCAACTGGATTTGGCAGCTTGCCAAGTCTCATGTTTGCTCCAATGATGCTGGTGTTCACCAGCTTGTTAATCACTGGTAAGAGCAGAATTTGAAATGGTCAATTGTCATGATTACATCCTTGGGTTGGCTTTGTTGATGGACTGAGTTTGGAATATTACAGGTTGCGCACACATGCCTGCATGGAGCCATTCATACTGGCAGCACATAGGCAATTGAGTGCAATGCACCCAATCTTCAAGCTTCTGGATCCTCACATGAGGTATACGCTCGAGATCAATGCCCTTGCCCGACAGAGCTTGATCAATGCTGATGGCGTTATCGAATCTTGCTTCACCCCTGGCCGCTATTGTATGGATATCAGTGCTGCTGCGTACAAGAACTTCTGGCGTTTCGACAAGGAAGGCCTCCCTGCTGATCTAATCAGAAGGTAACACCACCTTAAATATGAAGTTGTTGTTCGTTTCATTTTGGTATATGTTTTGATTTCCCATTTTGGGTTGGATTTGGTTATCATTGCACCTCATGTGTGCCCCTTTTTGAGCTACACTATTTATCTTATTAGCTAGATACATCTTCATCAGTGGACACCATTAAACTTCTTGAACCTGAACCTATTGTTTGGTTTCATTTGGGTGTATGATTTTGAAAGCTCCCACATTTGTCTACTTTTGGTCCACTATTATTTGCACAGCCTTAGTGTCTGTCCCATTCTGTGATTGAAAGCCTCCAACTTTCTGACTCCCCTCCCCCATTTTTTTTATCAATGCAGGGGAATGGCAGTACCAGATCCAACACAGCCACATGGGTTAAAGCTTCTACTTGAGGACTACCCATATGCTCAGGACGGCCTACTGATATGGTTTGCCATTGAGAACTGGGTCCGGACCTATGTAAACCATTACTACCCGAGCTCCACCATGATCATCAACGACACCGAGCTGCAATTGTGGTACTCAGAATCAGTCAATGTGGGCCATGCTGACCTCTCCGATGCAGATTGGTGGCCTAAGTTGGAGACCGGTGAGGATCTGGTCTCGATCCTCACCACCATCATCTGGCTCTCGTCAGCACAGCACGCTGCGCTCAACTTTGGGCAGTACCCTTATGGAGGATACGTGCCCAATAGGCCGCCCTTGATGAGGAGGCACATCCCCGAACAGGGCGACCCCGAGTTCGAGAATTTCCATGCCGACCCACAAAAGTACTTCCTCTCAGCACTGCCTAGTCTTCTGCAGGCGACGAAGTTCATGGCCGTGGTGGACACACTGTCTACTCACTCACCAGACGAGGAGTACATCGGAAATAGGCAGCAGATGTCGATATGGTCAGGAGACGCGGAGATCGTGGAGGCATTCTACGAGTTCTCGGCTGAGATTCAACGGATTGAGAAGGAAATCGACAGGAGGAACAATGATCCTAGCTTGAGGAGCAGGTGCGGTGCTGGTGTGTTGCCATATGAGCTGCTGGCTCCTAGTTCTGAGCCTGGTGTGACGTGTAGAGGAGTGCCTAATAGTGTGTCCATATGATTGTGTATTGTCATTTTTCCAGTGACAGAGCTTTAGTGACCATTCTTATATGTATGTATGTATGTATGTTTGTAGCTGATTAAGGGTTCTGGGATTAGAGGGCTGCCGGCTGCTAATTGCAGTCTCATTACGTAGAAATGTATATGCCATAGTATAGGATTTAATGAAATAAAAAATGGCCCTGTAATTTTCTTATAATTTAAACGAAGCTGGTTGTTTACTATACTTCTTGTCTTCCAAGTGTTAATTGCCTAATTGTTATGCCGCTTAAGTCCTTTATCCGTAAATTTCATGTGAAAATCCGGTTCCTAAACTTGAATGAAGCCACTATATATTTCTACTAGCTTTTACTCGGCCTTTGGCCGAATGAGTTTTCTTCATTCTTTACATTGTTTAATTTATAATTATATTTAAAATATTTATCCGATCCGTTGGTCGGATGAATTTTATTATGTTGATAAATTTTTCATAATTTATAATTTGAAGTTTTTAAAATAGTTAACACATTATTTCAAAGTAATCTTTATGGTATTTATTGATTATGATATTAGCGATAATTAGTTAATATATATTTTTTTTATCAAACTGTCCTAGTTTATTGTTTTGTATTTTTGTTCGTATCTTAGAAAAATTTGTGGACTTTTTCTTATCGGATATGAATGTGGAGTTGAAAGAAAATATATGTAATCTAGAATGGTAGGAATTGAAGATATATAAAAGATTCAAGAGAATAACGAAAAGATTGTGCCTATAAATCTCAAATATGGAAGAACACGAAAACATAATGCTTATTGTATAAAATATTATAATTTAGTGTATAGGCTTGTTTGAATAATAAGTGGGGGCTGTTTGAACAAATGCATCTTAATGACCGTTTATTATGATAAGGTTTTATAACTATTAAGAAAATCCAAACATTATAAAACCTTAAATTCAGCTCTACCAATACGATTTTTGACTTTTCATATGGAGTTAGGCATAAATTGTCACTCTATTATCCATTTTTCTAAAATCTATCTCTTTATTATTTTTCACATCAAACATGTCCTCGTAATATATAGTATATACATATTGTCAAATTAAATTTAGTCCTTTTTTATGGCTTATCTTCTACATCTGCATCTCCCAATAATTAATAGTCACAATCCCATCATCCATCTGTTCTGCTTTCTCTTCCTTCTACACAACAATTATTAAATGTAAAAACTTGTCTGTTACGAAAGAACCTAGAAGACCGACTTTTGAATTTCAACCACTCTTTGAAAGTCCACAATTATTGATCGATTTGACTCAATCATAAAAATTGGAACCCAAAAATATTAGAATATGTGGATTTCAAAGTATCAAAGGTTTTCAAACCCGTTTAGCCCGTTGGCCCGGTCAATTAAGTGGATTGATGGTCAACGGTCCAATCGTTTTAGTTAGCTTTTGCGCGGATATATGAAAACATCATTATATTGTTCATATATTTATAAATTATATAAAATTTCATCTACATTTGTTTCTCTATCTACATTTGTTTTTCTATATGTTACTTTCCGCTATCCTCCTTCAAACTCCTAAAAAGCATTCCAACAACATGTATTCATCAAGCGATGAAGGTCGCGCTCCTATGGTGGCGGTGTGTGTCAGATATGGAATTAATGAGGAGCGACCAAGTGGGAATTGAGCATGAGGGTGTTTGCGAGGGAAGACAATACGTGATGGAAGGGGAGTTATGCCAGTAGTCTCTTTGTCTACATAATTGACTCGACGGATTTAGCTTACCAATTCGCGAAGTGGGAGCTAGAACGGGAGCTTAAGAACGTATATTCTTCGAGAATTATAATTTGAGTGCGCCAAAAGAGTGTGAATATTATATTATTTTAATTAATATATCATTTAACTTGTTAACATGTTTTGGTAAAAATATTACAACAATGCAGCGGCAAAATAAAAATAAAATCATTTTAGTAGGATAATGGCTTTAAATAAGGTGATTAGGCCTGAAAAAGGAACAGACTTCAAAAGTTGAATAGAAACCCACAAATGTTGATAGGGGGAGAGGAAGGAAAAGGAGGAGGAAGAAGCTCATTTATGATTTATTTATTTGTTTTTAAACTAAAATATGATGTGTCATTTACGTGGAAAATATGGATGATTTGTCTCTGACCTTTGTGACAATTTGGCATTCTAGTCAACTTAATATTAAACTAATTGATGGAGTCTCTAACACCATTAAAGTTTGTAATGAAAATGACAAGATTTGGATACAACCAACCGGAATTTTGGCTATTTTGCATATTTATGCAAAAGTGGCTATTTTTGTCACAAACTCGAAACTCATGGCTACATAGGTGTGTTTTCTCTTTTTATTTTTCTTAGTATTTTTCGGAAGTTTCATGCGGAAAATAGTTATGGCTCTAGTTTTCAAATAAGCCGATTATGTAAGAAACTCCAAAAATGAGTGATGGGGTGATTACCTATAGATTTGTTAGTCGATTCGCTTTGTTTATAATCCAAATCGTTAATTTGGTTATTGGTTAATTGTTAAGAATATTTTACTTACCGTTAACCAAATAATTTACATTAGTCATTTACTGTAACCATACACATAGTTATCGTTCATTATGCAATTAACCGACTAACCATTTAGCAAGTGATGCGGTAAGGTTAAACCAAAATAACCGACCGATAACCAAACAACAGAAGGCTTCCATTATTTCAGTTATATTTTTGTAGATATCTCCCTACATATTTATGTGTTCTTATTTGTATTTTACAATGTTGTCAGAACCGAACCGGTATAGTAATCGACTCACACTTTAGTGGTTCAACTAGTATTAAGCTGTTATAAACCCATTTATGAACCGTTGTCTAATAAAGAAAAATATTATAACTAGAAACCATTAATAGTATTATAATTATATATTGATTCTACTATATGTGTACCAAATAATTATATATGAGTAGTAAAGACACTATGTAATTAGGTTATTTAAAACCTAGACATTGTATCAACATTTATAGTGAGACTTGTTATACTTATACAACCCAAATCAGTAGCATAAAACCCCTTACTAGGAGGTGCTGGGTTCAAATGCCAGCTACCTCACCTTCTCAATGGTTTGTTCTTGTCCCTTAAAGAATTTGGTCAGTTAACATTTTGACCGGTAAAACTGTTCGAAAGGTCGGTTCACGTACAAATTATCTGCTTCACCCGTGCCGGTTAAATAGATTGACCTGACCGGATTGGAGGTCGGTTGATAATTTTACCGGTCGGATCAATCGGTTCGGTCCAGTCTTGAAAACACTCGTATTTTATCATCGATTTGAGTTTGCTTATTTGTTCCTATTGGGAATGAGAGAAGATAGCGGACAAAGAAAATTTTGGGGCAAGATCATTGCTATTTTTCCTCCATAATTTGATCTTACCAATCTTATCTTAATGCCTATATTGCAATAACAAAATTGATGGTGCCTTTTATTTTTTGGTTAAATACACTTGTATATCCAAAATTTTCATGGTTATGCCAATAATACCCAAATTTGATGAAATACCACTTATAGCCACTTCCGCGAATTCTTTAACGGTGTCAGCTAATAAGCTGACTGGACAAACGAAAATGCTGAGTTGGCGAATTTCTCCATCAACAATACCACGCTGGATTAAGTTAAGAAAATAAAAAGTAAAATAAAAAATAAAAAAGGAGATGAAAGGTCCCCACCAAACGCACAACACACCCCCTCCTTCCCTCAGTGATTACTCAGCTCCACCAGCCGTCGCCGCCGCTTCTTCGCCTCGTCGAACCCAAAACTCCACCATTCCTTCACCCAGATTAGGGAGGCTTTGCGATTTCGAGTGCGATGCCTGCCTATCCTTGTTCTTAACATCCCAATTCTCCGACGCGATAAACTCAATCCCTTTGAACTGCCTTTCCTTCTCCTTGCCCATGATCTCAAACAGCTCCGGATCTGCCTCGCAAATCCACTAGTTTCCCCAAGCCTTCACCGAGCTCCGACGCTCCTGCAAATCCGATTCGCTCGCCATGACTGGCCTCTTGGCCGGACCGCATTGAATTTCGGAATCGGGGCGACGCCTCTTGAAGCACATCGAGTTGCCTAAAATTCGGAACTCCCTCCCGTCCTCCTCGTCCCCGGGTCGCGATTCAGCTCCACGGCGGCACCACCGCTCTGGTTGTACAGGAGTCTGCCGCGGTGGCAATTCTCGTTTATCAACTCCAGTAGCCGCAGCGGGAGGTGGTGGATGGCAGGGGTGGGCAAACGGTTCAGTAAACTCGAACCGAAACCGAATTAAACCGAACCAAAATGGAATTAATGCTATTGGGTTCGGAATTCGGAAGGAAAATATGGATAGTTCGGAAACCAGGGTTCTTTCAACCGAACCGAATTTTTGAATTTCCAACCGAAAAACCGAAATACTATAATTGCAAGCTCCAAATGGTGGATTTTTATGTTTGTAGTTGTTTTTATACTTAAATATTTGAAATGTTTTATGACTTATGTGTTGAAAAGTTTGATTTTATCATTGATGATGCATATAATTGATATTTATTGTTTATATTAGGGGTAAAAATAATTTAAAAGTGAGAAAATACAAGTAGCTTCACAAATTCGGTTTTGGTAAAAAACCGAACTGAACCGAATTATAATTCGGTTTAAACCGACTGAACCAAATTATAATTCGGTTCGAATTCGGTTTTAAATTTGAGAGAATTCGGGGACCCGGTATTCATAATTTTGGTTCGGTCGAAACCGAACCGACCGAATGCCGACCCCTAGTGGACAGAGGCGGCAGAGGGGAAGAACCCTAATTTCAAAATTGGGGAAAAGTTGAGGATTCAGATCGTGCGAGATGGGGAATATTATGGTAATTTTTTAATAATTATGATGTGTAAATAATAAATAATTTAAATATCTGATGTGTCATTATTTGCCTATTTGGCGTTGACGTGTCTGTTGAGTTGGCGCCTAGTCAGCAAACCGTCAAATAAGTTGAC